GACTGAGGGAGACAGTAGTGGGCTGGCTATGGGCTGGAACCCTGATGTGAGGTCCCGTCCTAAGGGCTAGGTGAGTGCCACTCCCAACTGGCCTGGTGGAGATGCATGTGGGGCATCGGTCCTCAGGTCCCCACCTTGTCATAGAGGGTGCCCACCATGCTGTCCTCTTCGCTAGTGCCCAGCAACTGGGCCAGCAGCTTGTGCCCGAAGTGCAGATAGACGAGTCCCGCACTGCTCAGCTTGGTCTGCCATGGCTTCCCAGGGGACAGGGAGCTCATGGTCTCTGTGAAAGACCTGAGGAGCACAGGGAGGTGGGGCTGAGGCAGAGGTGCCCCAGTTAACCCTGTGTATGTGCATGTGGGGGCACAATGTGGGGTAGGGGGGCTGGGGAATACTGCAGGAGCTGGAAAGGGAGAGCCCAGCTGGAGAGGCTTTGGCTTTTCCTTCGGGGTCACACAGACCGCAGCTTAAAGTCTGTGCATGCATTCGACAATGGTAAACTCAATGCTTACAACGTGCCAGACTTTGTGCTTAGACATTGGGGATAAAAAAACAGACCATGTCCCTCTCTTCAAGTTTACCTGCTAATGGCAGACAGACACACAACCAACCAAGCGAATGCTGTAGCTATGTTATAAGCAAGAAGTGTGTGTGTGTGTGTGTGTGTGGGGGGGGGGGATTTAGAGAGCTTTCAGGTCATAACTGAGCAATGAATTTACGGGGTGTTCACCAGATAAAGGGTGAGGAAACATGTACATGGCTAAGAGGTCTCTTCATGGAATTGCAAGAAAGGAGCTTGGGTGTGAGAGGTGAGTGGTAAGAAAAGGTGGAAGGGCAAGCAGGGGCCACATCATGGTAGGGCTTGCATGCCATTCTTTGGAGTTTGGACTTCTATTTGTATGTAATGGGAGCCACTGAGAGACTCTAAGTAGTCAAGAGCATGTTAGAAAGAGCATTGTGCCAGCCAGCATGGAGAATAGATGCAAGATTACCTGCAGTGGTCCGGGTAAGTGAGGAAAGCAGGAATTTGAGTAGCAGTGGAACAGAGAATAGGGAAAAGTTATTAGGGAAGTAGAAACCATAGCTATAATTTGTAAATACTAATTAGAATCACCTAGGGAGCTCATTTTTTTTTGTTTTAATGATTTTTAAATACTGAGTAAATACAAAACATTTTAATAAAATACATATAAGGTATAGCCATGGTAAGTGTTGCTCAGTGGTTAGAGCCCTGACCCATGCACTGAAGGGTTGCAGGTTAGATTCCCAGTCAAGGGCACGTACCTGGGTTGCGGGTTCGCTCCCTGCCCTGGGTTGGAACATGTGTGGGAGGCAACCAGTCAGTATATCTCACATCAATGTTTCTCTCTTTCTCTCCCTCCCTTCCACTCTCTCTGAAAAGCAATGGAAAAAATATCCTCATGTGAGAATTAACAACAACAACAAAACAACAAAAAATGTTTTTTAAAAGTTTACAAAGCAGACAATGGTACATAGACTTGTGGTGTGGATTATTACTATTATTAACAATGTAGCCAGTGTGCTCAGTGGTTGAGCATCAACCCATGACCCAAGAGGTCTCTGGTTAGATTCCTGGTCAGGGCACATGCTCAGGTTGGGGGCTCGATCCCCACCCAGTAGGGGGCATGCAGAAAGTAGCTAATCAATGTTTCAGGCATCAATGTTTCTATCCATCTTCCTTCCTCTCTAAAAATTAATTAAAAAATCCCACACAGGTGAAGTTCAAAAAGAAGAAAAAATGCCCTGGCTGGTGTGTTAAGTGGTTTGAGTGTAGGCCTATGCACCAAAGGGTCACAGGTTCTATTCCTGGTCAAGGGGGTCAAAGGCAAATCCCTGGGTTGTAGGTGCGATCCCTGTGCCCCGAGGCAACCAATCAATGTTTCTCTTTCTCCCCCTCCCCCCTTCCACTCTCTTTGAAGATCAATGGAAAAAATATCCTCGGATGACAATTAACAAAAACAAACAAAAAACAAAATAAGTAAAACTAAATAAATTGATGATGGAAACAGACATATGTGCTAAACTATACACAAGGGTATGATGAACACAAAATTCAGGATACTGTTTACTTTTGAAGGAGGTGGGGGGATGGGATAGGGAAGAAGCACACAAGTATAGATTCAAAGGTAATGACGGTGTTCAAATTCTTGGGTTGGGAGATTAGTTCATGGGTGTTCACTTTATGTTTTATATTCCAGAAATGTTTTTTTTTTAAATATTTTTTTATTGATTTCAGAGAGGAAGGGAGAGGGAGATTGAAACATCAATGATGAGAGAATCATTGATTGGTTGCCTTCTGCATGCCCTCTAATGGGGATCAGCCTGCAACCCGGGCATGTGCCCTGACCAGGAATTGAACCCGGAACCCTTCAGTCCTCAGGCCGATGCTCTATCCACTGAGCCAAACTGGCTAGGGCCAGAAATGTTAAATACATTTTATATGTCAAATACTGCATAATTAAAAAAAAATTTTTTTAAATCCTCACACAAGGATAGTTTCCCATTGCTTTTTATTTTAAAAATATATTTTTATTGATTTCAGAGAGGCAGGGAGAGGGAGAGAGAGATAGAAACATCAATGATGAGAGAGAGTCACTGACTGGCCACCTCCTGTACACTCTCCACTGGAGATCGAGCCCACAACCTGGGCATGTGCCCTGACTGGGAATCAAACTGTGACCTCCTGGTTCATAGGTCGACACTCAACCACTCAGTCATGCTGCTGACTGGGCTATTTTTTATTTTTGTTTTATTTATTTTTAATATTTTTGTTGATTTCAGAGAGGAATGGAGAGAGAGAAATATCAATTATGAGAGAAACACTGATCCGCTGCTTCCTGCACAGCCCCCTACTGGGGATTGAGCCCGCAACCCCCCCCTTGACCGGAATCGAACCGAGGACCTTTCACTTTCAGTCCACAGGCCAACGCTCAATTCACTAAGCCAAACTGGTTAGGGCTTTCCATTGATTTTTAGAGAGAGTGGAAGAGAGAGGGAAAGACAGTGAGAAATATCAATGTGAGAGAAACACATTGATTGCCTCCTGCAGGAGCCCAGACCAGGGCTCGGGCGGGGGAGGAGCCTGCAACTGAGGTTTGTGCCCTTGACCAGAACTGAACAGGGGGCCTTCTGTCCACATGCTGACGCTCTATCCACTGAGCCAAACCAGCTAGGGCCTGCATAATGTTTTAAAGAAAGTATGTCAAATCATTAGAAAAAAGGAAGAGTCAATAATGTCAAGTCCCACCAAGAGGTGCGTTAAGGTGAGATTCTCAGCCAGTAACCTGAGCTGGTGTTGAAGTTATCGGTGACCTTTTCATGAGCATTTCCAGTGGAGAGAGACTGGGAGAGAACCAGCTGAATGAATGACATGATTTGGAAGGGATATGGAGCCAGGGTCGGCTCTTCTTTTGAAGAATGACAGTTTAGGCTGTAAATACTGGAGGGTTCCCTCCTAACATCATTTATGAATATGTACACTTAATCATAATCACTTTAAACAGTGTGGTGTACAAGAGAGAGCATTTTGTATCTACTAGTATTTCTATTTTCAAGATGGGAGATGCCTAAATAGAGTTGTAAGTTATTGGCAAAAAGTAGAAACTGGTGGGAAGTCCAAGAGGAGAAAGTAATAGATTGGAAAGGGGACAAACAGAAGGGAACAGTGCTGCACTGGAAGGAGGGAGCTGAGGATGTTTACGAGTGGGAAACAGGAGTTTGATGAGATAGGGGCTTGAGGAGAGGGGAAAAGGATTGGAATGAAGTAGAAGACCACACATATGTGAACTGTCACCAACCACCACAATCAGGTGGGCCCAACAGTGTGAAGTGGGGCAGCAAGGGCACATGAATGGGTTAGTCCCAGCTGGGGTATTAACTGGGGAGAAAACAGTACTGGTGGGAAAAAAGTGACAGCCAGAGAAGGAGGTGAGCTGGGAGGGGCCTGAGGACTGACTAGGAGCCAAGGGAGGTTTGGGCAGGTTAGACTCGGAGGTCCACGGCCAGGTAGGCAGGTGGAGAGCCAGAAGGATGGAAGGCCGCAGTGGCACGGGACTCGACACACCTGGGCAGGTTAGACTTGGAGGTCCACGGCCAGGTAGGCAGGGGGAGGGGGAGAGCCGGAAGGATGGAAGGCCGCAGTGGCACGGGACTCGACACAGACCCCTGCAGTGCATGGCTGAATTGGGGCACTGAATCAAGCTGAAGTGAAGAAAAGGTACCTGGGAACCCACCTCTGGTGATGGTCATATCGGTGTCTCTGAGGGTCGTACTCGCCACCCACATCTACCACGACGTCGCAAGAAGCCAGTTTTTCGGGGTCCCGGGTCCGCACAATCTCTGCATCCTGTAGGGGGCACCGGGGGTGAGGAGCTGCCAGGAGTCGCGCGGGTAGGGTTAATGCTAGGTTTCAGGGGGGTCGGAAGGGTAGGAGGGGGGCTCGGGCCGCCCCAGGTACCACAGGGACCCAGGTAAGGCACGCGGGCGGCCCAGGCGCACCGTACCTGGTACTCCGGCAGGAGGCGCAGCAATGCGCACGCCAGGGCTTCATCGCAGTGGAAGGTGCCGTTGTGCGTTCCTATTCGGGGCGGTGCCATGAGGCCGCGGCGGGGTCGTTTGGAGGGCTGCACGCTCTCCAGGCTGTGCATGCGGTGCCGGACACGAAGGGGTGGCGGCGGCAACAACAAAGGTAGGAGTCCCCGAAGGAAGCGGCAGCCCATACAGCTTCTCCCGTGCGAAGGCGGGAGCGCCGAGCCGGAAAAGGAAGTGCCCGCGCAGCCCCACTTCCGTCTGTCAGCCTTTCCCACGGCCCCAGGCCCCGCCCAGCGGGGCCGCTACACCGCTAAGGCCTTCCCGCTCCTCTGGGGGTCAGACGGAGCCTCCAAGATAAGCCCTGCATCAGGCTCTGGGAGGGGCACACTCTCGACCCCTCCCCTCCCATCTCTTCACCAGTCCCGTACTGATGCAAGAATAGACCAACATTCTGCCCAGCTGGAACATTTATTGGCATTAAACACAAAACCCTTCTCTCCCCACCACAAAGTCCCAGGCCCTTGAAGTAGGGTCCCTCTGCCTGGTTTCTGAAACAGGATCTCAGGCCTTGGCAGCCTGAGTTGCCCCCAGGGCTGTGAGCTGCTGAATCTTCTGGCTCATCATCTCCATGACAGCTGTGGGGGGAAAAAACAGTCAGACCCTGGTCAGGAGCTGAAGGGAAGAACCCAGAGTTAAGAGAAAGTGACAGGGAAATTTAAGGAGTGGCAGACACCAACTATAGTTGATAAAACTTAACACAGTGATCCACTACCGCAAAATTTGGAATCTACAATGTATCAGTAAATATGACAACCATTGGGATATAAAAATGAACAACATACAATATTGAGTCAGACATAACCAAAAATTATAACGTGAAAATATTTTTGCCTTTATTTTTTTAATGTGTGGTTTTATTTTTTATATATGTTTTTATTGATTTCAGAGGGAGGGAAGGAGAGATAGAAACATACATGATGAGAGAGACCCACTGACTGCTTCCTGCACACCCACTACCAGGGATGGAGACCTCCTGGTTCATAGGTCGATGCTCAACTACTGAGTAAATAGCAGGGCTATTTTTACCTTTAGAATAGTGATTCTCAATCCTGTGTTACATAATCACCTGGGGCATTTTTACGAGACCCATGCCTTACCATTTGACTACCATCACCTGGGCTCTGGGGCATTAAAAAAAAATACCGAACCCTGGAATCCTTGCCCACCCCTAGCCCCCACCACTACCCAGCTTGATTTACTAGTAGTTTGTTTGGAGGGGGCAACAGGCTTTCTTTCTTTCTTTTTTTAAACATTTTTATTGATTTCAGAGAGGAAGGGAGAGGGAGAGAGAGACAGAAACGTCAATGAGAATCACTGATTGGCCGCCTCCTGCATGCCCCACACTGGGGATCAAGTCCGCAACCTGGGCATGTGCCCTGCCTGGCAACTGAACCCTGATCTCCTGGTTCATAGGTCAGTGCTTAATCACTGAGCCGGCTGGTGTAGCTCAGTGGTTGAGCATTGACCCAGGCTTTCTTTTCAAACTCCCTTGGTGATTCTAATGTATAGCCAGGGCTGCAATTGCTAGTACTTAGTTAGGGCTATTTCTTTCCTGTGTGTTCATTTGCATGTATCTTTTCCCCCATTCAATCCCCATTAAGAACACAGACATGATTTCTTTCCTCTAAATTTCTCAAACACCCAACCCAGGAATCTACAAATAGTGGGTATGTAATATACTGAATCTAGAGAATAACACAAGACACAAAAGAGAAAGACATGGTTTTAATCCAGCAAAGGGGACATCCCCATGGTTCACACTGCAATCCATGTTCTTTATCATGGAGGTACAAAGGATGAAGAGGTGCCTCAGGCCAAGCTTACCCTGTTTCATGACATGCTTCTCTTGAAGGGCTGGCTGGATTTTCTCCATTTGCTTGGTGAGAAAGTCTATTTTCCTCTTGAAGAAGTCCTTGGCATCCTCAGCTGTCTAAAAGGTCAGAGGTGAATGAGGGGCTAAGAGGACTGGCCAGTGTTTCAGTGGTTAGAGCATCGGCCTGCACAATGGAGGGTCACAGGTTCAATTCCCGGTCAAGGGCATGTACCTGTGTTGCAGGTTCGATCCCCTGCCCCAGTTGGGGTGTGTGGGGAGGTACCCAATCGATGTGTTCTCTCACATCAATGCTCCTCTCTCTCACTCACCCCCTCCTACTCCCTAAAAAAAAAAAAAAAAAAAAAAAAAGAGGACACCCCATGCTGTCTCTAAATCCTCCCCTAAACTTCCTTTCCTTGCTCAGAGGGGCATGTACGTGGTTCCTTCCACTCACCTTCTCTACATAGTAGCCAGTTCCCACATCGATGAGCACGTGTTCTACGTCATGCAGCTTCCCCGGGACATACATCTGAGAAGCAACAATTAAGGGAAAACTAGCCCAGCATGAGCCATGATTCCTTGTCAGCCGAAGACCCTCTTTTCTAAACAGCTACAAGGCGCAGGGACTGAATAATCTGGGGGCTTTAGAATTATACCTGTACACTCCTCCACATGTGGAGACAGAGAAGTTGGTTCCTTATGGAGAAAATGACAGACACACACTGAGACACTGTCTGCCCTGAAGCCATCGCCCACCCTTTAAGCAGTTAGGCCCTCCAGAAAGACTAGATACAACATGTTCTTAGGGCTGTAGAAAGTGAAAGTGGGAAGCCAGCCCCGCTGGCTTCCCCTCAACACCCCAACCATGAGCTAGCTAACTCCTGATGGATTTAATGTTCGTTATTTAGGTAACCCCTGGTACACGATTATTTCAGTGTTCTTCTCTCAGCCTGTCAGTTCTCAGACGACAGTTTACAGGTGTCCTGTTGTCATAACTTGATCATTCAAGTAAAACACTCAACAGGGAGACACAACCCAGGTTTCGTAGTAACCACAGTTTAGGAATAAGAGCCACAATTAAACTGAAATTGAGAATTAATAAACAGAGTCAACCCCCTTGTTTCTATATCCTATTCTTCTATTGCTTATGTGTTCTAAGTTATTAGTAAAAGTGTAAACCACGTTTTATCTTTATATTAGATCATATATTCAAACAAAAAAGGGAAACAGTCACACCTCAATTACATATACTCTTCGGTGCTTACAAGACAATAGCTAGATGTTGGCCCCAGGATACAGATAGGAGAGCTAGGCAGTGTGAAGAGCTCTCAGAATCATGGGGCCCTTTGGAGTCATCAAAAATACCCCCACCCTTTTTGGAGAGGGAGGGAGGGGTACAGGAGAGAAGAGGAGGGCTGGATGGTTCCTCTGGAAAGGATACAGAACTCGTCAGTGGGACAAGTAATTCTTTCCCTGTGAAAGCAATTAAGACAAACATCTGGGGAACGTTGTCCGCTGCAACGTTAAGACGTTAAAGGGCCCAGCGCAGAGAGCATGAGAAGAACGGCAACGGGGCAACAGGAGCACTGTCCTGTCCATTTCAATTCTAGGTGGGCAACATGCAAAAGGCTCACGAGAGGTACAGAATGAGGAACGGATCGTTCTCTCGTCTCCGGTAAGGAAGTCTGGTTTAGGAGGCGGGACCAGAAGCCGCGCACCACATCCCCCTGCTGCCTCCGCGCTCACCCCATACCCTCATTGCTCTTGTTCAGCACGTTCAGACAGTCCTTGGCTTCCACGTACTTGGTCTGCACCACCTTGAGCTGGGCAATGGACGTGGACAAGAACTCCACTTCCTACAGGGCGCAAGAAAGAGAGTCAGTGTGGGGCTGGAGGGAGAGGAGCACCGCCCGAGAAGGGGCGAGGGTTTCGCAGGGGAAGGGAAGCCTCCCAAACAGCGGGGGAGTGGAGAGGGGGCGAGGGCGTTGGCGTGGGCAGAAGGGATGTGAGGCGGGAAGGGGTGTCTCTGGGGCCCGTCCCCACCTGGTCCAGCTGGTTCTTGAGCATTTCCAGCTGCGGAAGATTCAGCTCGGTGATGTTCACCGACTGCGCCATGTTGGGAAGGAGGATTAGGACTGAAAAAGCTGAGAGCGGCTTCCCGAGCGACGCTCTAGCCGTCCTCTGCGCATCTCGATGGCTGCCAGGAGGCCTCGCTGCCCCGGACATCTCTATGGTCCTCCGCCTGGGGCGGGGCGCCACTGAGTCACGCCTCCTAGTAAAGGCAGCGGCGCGTGCCTTTCATAAAACAAACCACGTCTAGCGTAGTAAAGTTGTAGCGGACACGACTGCTGCTTCCAGGAGCTTAAAAATCTTTAAAATAGTGAGGCCATAACTATAACATTACAAAGCAATGTATGCGACTCCACGTGTGTGGTATAGACCTAGTGACCGATTAGCCAGGAAGCCTGAGAAGTTCTCTGGTGGAGGGGGTGGGGGGATAGCATTGGGAAAGTGGTGCTTTGGAAAAATTAAGCAGAAGAGAGTCTGGTGGTAGAGAGGACAGTGAGGAGGCACGTTGTCAACCAAGTACAGCCCACGTTTGTTTATTATTTTAATATATTTTTATTTATTTCAGAAAGAGAGGGAGAGACAGAAACATCAATGATGACAAAAATCATCAATCTCTCCTGCACAACCCCTATGGGAAAGAGCCCACAACCTGGGCATGTGCCCTGACTGGAAATCCAACATAACTGTGACCTCCTGGCTCACAGGTTGGTGCTCAACCACTAAGCTACACTGGCCTGGCCAGCATGTTTTGTTGTTTTTTTCCAGCATAAGTTTATTAATCAATATATAAGTTATATCATGTGTTAGATGTGAGGGATACATGAACGTGTAAGATATGTGTTTCTGAGGAAATTAGCAATCTAATTGGGGAGAGAAAACTATATATAAGCAGCAGAACCCTACAGAACCTGCTACCAAAGTACACTGACAAGTGTAACAGCTATATGTGGGGAGAAAACATCAGCCTTTAACCTTCACTTAGGAGGGGGCAGGGGAAGTGAGACATTAAAGCTGGTGTCACTCCCAGGATACCTTAATGCAAAGACAGGACAGATGTGATGGTATCTGGTCAAGATTCTCAATGGGTCTATCTCTACCCGTAACAACTCTGTCCCCACTTAGGGCACCTTGATGCCCCTCTCTTTTAGCTTTTTCTGCTGAGGCCAAGCCAGGCCCCGTTTTGTCCTATGGTTTTGCCTTTCTTCCCAATGCTCTCAGATGCACTCCTGCAAGCTGTTCTATTTATAGTACCACATAGTGGGAGGGGGCAATAGTCTTGTCCTCAAATGTTTTCAAATGAACTACACAAAACTGGGTTTAAGTCATAAATCTTTATTATATTAAGGTTAAGTTAAAAGGAAATGTTTTATATAAAATATTGGGGAAATCACTTAAAAATATTTATCCTGAGGGTTCACTCTAAGTATGGGAGGTAGAACAGTCACATGGCTTCCATCAGTGATAGGACCGCTCCAAGGGCTCACCGCAGGGAGACAGGCAAGCCATAGGCTACAGGTGCAGCCCCAATAAGATACTTGAGTCGGGGAGCCTGGCGGGCCTGGTTGACATAGTAGAGAAGAGGGGCTCCTGGGCCTCCTCCAAGCCAGCCCTGCAGCAGCACCTCCGTGTAGCGGTCAATGTCACGGTCAGTCACATCCCAGAGGTTACCCAGAAACAGGGGACTGGAAAAAAAAGAAGAAAAACAAAGGACTCTAAAACAGAACACATAGGAAAATACAATTAATAGTGGTGGTGGGTGAGTAGAGAGATTGAGCTAATGAGGAAGTCCCTTGGAACTAGGATGGGAGGAAAGTGGGGCACAGAGGAGGAAGGATTTAAACTTCAGACCTAGGAAAAAACCTGGGGTGGGGACCTAGGATGGGCCTTGCCCCTCAAGACTCACCAGCCGGCCATGATATACTTGAGCACGATGCCAGCCCCCTCCAGGTTTCCATGCACAGCCAGGGCTGCACTGCTGCAGCCAAATAGCAGTGCCACTGCCCGACAGTTCAGCCTCAGGACAGCCTGCCCATCCAGGAAGCGGGCACCAGCCCCGTGCCCGGCATAGCTAAAGCAGAAGGTGAGATGAGTTTGACGTAGCTATACTAGGCCTCTGCTATGTCTCCAGAGGTGCCCTGAGTCAACCAGGGGCTTTAAAACCCCAAAGCAAACCAAAGCAATACCCTCTCTGCAACTGCTTCCCCACCTCCCCACCCTAAGCACTCACATATATAAGTCACGCTCCATCAGGGCCTCTTGCACCTGTAACGGGCTCGGCACCTCCCCAACCACTCCTTTCCAGCCAGATTCACTGCAGGGAAAAGGTAGGAGTAAGAATAAGGGTCATGCCCTAGCCCATTTGGTTCAGTGGATAGAGTGTCGGCCTGCGAACTGAAGGGTCCTGGGTTCGATTCCGGTCAAGGGCACATGCCAGGTTGCGGGCTCGATCCCCAGTGTGGGGCATGCAGGAGGCAGCCGATCAATGATTCTCTCTCATCATTGATGTTTCTATCTCTCTACCTCTCTCTTCCTCTCTGAAATCAGTAAATCCTAGCCCTTTTGGTTCAGTGGATAGAGCGTCGGCCTGCGGACTGAAGGGTCCTGGGTTCGATTCCGGTCAAGGGCACATGCCAGGTTGCGGGCTCGATCCCCAGTGTGGGGCATGCAGGAGGCAGCCGATCAATGATTCTCTCTCATCATTGATGTTTCTATCTCTCTACCTCTCTCTTCCTCTCTGAAATCAGTAAAAATATATTAAAAAAAATAAAAGGAATAAGAGTCATGTGGCAAATTGGCAGAGGGATACTAATGAGAAAGTGGCTGCAACATCTGATTCTTGAGAAAAGGACATGTTGTCCCTATGCGTTGTTGCTACCCCTCCCCACTCTGTTTCTTATTCTTATCCTCCTGACCTGCTAAAATTGGCTCGAAATTGCTCCTCTGTGCTTGACAGGTTGTTGTGAGGGTTCAGAACGTAGAAGGCACTGCGAGGATCCACCCCTTGGCTCAGCACTGGCGAGGCCCCAGACTGATGAGGAGACACTGGTGATTAGGATCCTGGTCTGGCTCCAACAAACTCCAAGCCCCATTCCATGACTGATCCATTCCCAAGACCCTCTCCTATCTTCCCAATAGCCACCAATCAGCCCCAGTCTGCACTGCCCGAATCCTACCTCTTTGATGATGGCGTAGCTGAGTAGGAAACGGAAGGAGGGCAGCCGCGTGACAGGCAGTGCCCGGAGGCTGGGCATGCTCTCCCATGGCAGCTTCTGCAGGTCCTGGGCAAAAAGCACTCAGAGGTTACGGTCCCTAGCCGGGTATACACAGGAGTCAGAAGAGGGTGAGTTGGTGCCCACTGCCCACCAGGCACTGCCTCTCTGGCCTTAGCTCCTTACCTTGTCCAGCACTAAGACAAGGTGCCTACTGCTTGGTATTGTCTGCCCCTGAAGATGTCCTATTGCCTCACTCAGGAGTTCTTGGGCTCGCTCTGGCTGGGCGGGGCACAGCCCATAGGCCAGGGCCTGAATGTCTTGAGGGGTGAGGGTATTGGCACCACTGAGCATGATCTGTAGGGGAACAGTGGTCAGTGAGTGCCATAGCTTCCATTTCTACTCACAGTGGCAGGTGGGAAGGAATTAAATCTAGCTTCTTTCCCTTCGCTGATTTCTCAACTCACTTTCAGCAGAGTGGGATCAGGATATTTCCAGCCACATTCCTGCAGCAACTCTTGTAGGCGGGAGGCCTCCTGGGCGGGGCCCGGGTCCTCACTGAGTGGCAGCAACAGCCCCCTCCAGCAGCCCAGCACATCCTTTTCTAGGGAAGTGATGAGAACCTGAGTGCAGAAGAACAGGACCTTCAGTCAGAGATGAAGCAAAGTTTCTTTCCCCACAGGCACCGACATTCTGGAGATGAGGAAGTGGGCTTTCCAATGTGTGTATTTGTCTTACATAACTGCCAATGAAAAGGCAAGAAGCTAGAAACATTTTTCACTTGGTGAGACTCTGGGGAGTATAAATAAGAATCTGTTACATATCACTATAGACAGGTGGGCAATCAAAGCTAAAGCTGGGAAGCTGAGACATGGGCGTCAGTCCTTCTTCCTGTGTGTGTATACCTTTAAGTGCTCCATTGCCATAACCCCTCAGGTTTGGGGCTCTTGTTTAAAGTCCTTCCCACGTAACGTAATTTTTTATTTAGGCCTACAATTCCAGAAAGGATTCGAGGTACCTTAGCACTGACAGGGCACCCCTGAGAAAGAAGACATTGGCACCCCCAGGTCATTCGTAGGACAGGCCTGACCCCACCCCACCTTGGGGGCACACACCTCCATCCTATGGTCCAGCTCTAGCCGCCCTGTCCACCATTCTCGCTTGTCAGTACAGCTGCTGTTCTCTTTCTGTTCCTTCTGGATGGCATCAAATTCTTTCAGGGCCGAGCTCAGAGGAAGCTTTGGGAGATGGGGTTGTGAGATTTCTGCTTGTCCACGTGATCACCATCTCTCTATCTCCCAGCCACAGAATGTGAGCAGTCTGACCAGAAGCCTACCCCAGCCCAACTTTGCTCCCTGGCCCAGGAAACGTACCTTGTTCTGGGCAGTTGGGATCTGCACAGTGACTGGGGGATTGTCTTTTTCCAGCCGGGTCAGCAGGAGGGTGTTGCCCACCGTTCCAGGCTGGAGGGAGGCCAGGGCCAACACACACACAGTCACCTCTGACACAGAATATACCCAGAATCATTTCAGCTGTTACAAGGAATTCCCTTCAATGTCTTCTGCACTCAATCCCTATCTGGCACTCAAGACAACTCTAAGAAGTCTCCCCTGGTCACTGGAGTTCAAGATGCTCTCCCTAAGAGTTCCCTGGGAGCAGAGACCATGTCTTATACTTCTTTGTGTCCCTTACAGAAATGAACAAAGGGCCCTGCACAGCAGGAGGCACTCAAATAATCTGTTAACGTGTTTCATGCTAGCATAGGGAGCCCGTGGACATCTGGACTTACCCCTGAATAAAGACATTGAATTTGTTGGTAAGTCAAAGTTGAGGTTAAAAAAAAAAAAAAAAAAAGACGTCCAGCCCAGCTAGTGTTGCTCAGTAGTTGAGTGTAAACCTATGAATCAAGAGGTCTAGGTTTGATTCCCAGTCAGGGCACATGCCCAAGTTGCAG